TGTGTGTGTGTGTGTGTGTGTGTGTGTGTGTGTGTGTGTGTGTGTGTGTGTGTGTGTGTGTGTTCACAACACCCTCACCTTCCTTTGTCTCTCTTGGGTTCATCCTCTTTGTCATCCTCTTGGGTTAGGTGCCACTTTGGCAACAGTTTTGAATTTGCTGTGATCAGTGTGCATCCTAATAAGTGTTTTGTTGTGAATTTAATCACGTTATAATCAGCTGAATTGACGAGGAGTGGTATCTCTGCTCTGCTGATGTTAAGAAGAGATAAAAATAGTGATGAAGATCAGTAGTTTCACTCTAGATGAGTACAGTAAATAAGATTTGTAAACAGCAGCAGTGCAAATTTAAAACAGCCGTGATTCAGTCAGTGTTGCAGATATTGACCTAATGTTAGGTGTGATAGTAGCTGTTACTGATTCCCAACACATATTTTATGCACTAACAAATAAGATCTTTGTTTAAAAATTTGCCGTTACATAGTTGGAGTTAAGTCTCTGAACAATTTGCACATCTCATTCTTTGTTTTGTACCATGAAACCATAGTAATCTATTTATAACTGATGCAGTTTGTTTGTTTATAGCATATGGAAGCTAACTATATTTGTTTAGTCTATAGAAAGTAGGTCAGTGTGCATTGTTCTGAATTCAGCAGACTTTTTTTTTAATTCTAGAAGCTGAAACTGAAAAYGAGCTGTTTATTATCCTCCAGAAACCAATAGGCATCACTAGCATCCTTTTGTATGTCAGAGTGGGAAGTGGGCGTGCTGTCTGGCCTTCCGCTAGAAGTGGAAAAGGTTTTTTCCCTGATTAGCGGAATCAATCCCCCTCCCTCCMTTCTTATTTTCTAGCCTATTATTGAATTGAAGTGCAGGAACTCTTTATTTACCTCAGTCATATCTTCTGTAACAAAAGGGATCGCCATCTTATCAGGGCTTTGCAGCAGGAAGATGGCCCCTGCAGCCTAACTAATGGAAGTGCCTTAATGGGCTCGGCGATGATGTTTTACTAAGCCTTCGCTCCACAGGGGAATAGAATATGGGGACCAGTGAACACAATACAAGACACTTGACATGCAGTGAAAATCAACCAACTGCTAAGTGGTTTCTGATGGCGTGTGAACTGTCTGAATAAAAGACCACCCTGATTTTTATTTTTTATTTTTTAAGTGAAACTTTAAGGACTCCCTGTGGGGAAGTGTCGACAAATTCCAAAATAAATGTAAACAAGCTTCCCTTTGCTAATTGCTTATTTATGATGCTAGACTAATAAAAACACTGATGGTCAGTTAGGTTTAGTGTAAATGTAAGTAATGAGGTGTTTTTATTCTTTCCTCTTTGTGCCAGATTCATCCCGAGGAGGAGGACTATGGCTTTGAGATCGAGGAGAAAAACAAGGCCATTGTGGTGAAATCTGTCACCAGGGGATCACATGCTGAGGTAATGGTCAACAAAACGCGCACAGTGTGCGTTCTTCCCGCCACAGGGTGTTAGTTCCAGTAGGTAATGGCTGTCTACTGTTTTGACGGCTGCTGTCAGTCTCCCTCTGGCCCTTTTTGCAGGAACTCCGCTCCGATTGGCTGCAGAGTCATCGCTACGCTTACTCACATTACCTTCAGACAAACTGCACACATGCACATCGTTGCTCCTTCAGAGCAGTTTAAATATAGACAAAACCTGTTTTTAAAGAAAATAACTCGCTTTAGCTGTATGAGTTTGTTACATCTGTGGTTTCTGTGACAGCTGTGGCAGATGTGTTTTACCTGAACAAACCATTTTTTAAATATAATTTCAAGAACACATGAATGAACCAATTATTTTGCCACTATTCCTGTCATTTTATCACATCTTATGTGACTCAGTCTTAAGGCCCTGTCACAGTATGAAGTATTAGACAACTTATGAAATGTTTGGAGACCTCTACATTGAAGATGGAATTAAAAAAAAAATCAATTGGAAGCCTCTTTCAGGCATGTACATCTATAATGCTAACAAACTGATCAAATATATAAC